GAATAGAATAGAATAGAATAGAATAGAATAGAATAGAATAGAATAGAATAACAGAGTTGGAAGGGACCTTGGAGGTCTTCTAGTCCAACCCATTCTAAATGATTTCATATGATTCCAGTTTCACCTTCCTTCCTTTAAGCTGAAAGGGCCAACGCTCATCCTTGCGGAGGTCCCAAGTCCCTTTTGGTAGCCTTTCCACCCAGGTTTCCCAACCTTGGCCTCTTCTAGGTGTGGGGCCCTTTTAAATCACCCCAGAATTGTAACTAAGAACTACGCAGAACTATGGCGTTCTTGGGTTTTAAATATCTATGGAGATTCTCCGTCATCCAGGTCACGGTTGTCCCAAAGGTGCTTTTTCAAAAGGCAGCTGGACTTTGGGGGTTAAACATTCTCTCTCTCTCTCTCTCTCTCTCTCTCCCCCCCCCCATAGAAAAGATCGAAAGGACGGTTCAGATCGAAGCTTCAACCGTCGAAATTGAAGAGCGAGGGGTCAAGCTGCGGTTGACGGTCGTGGACACTCCGGGCTATGGAGATGCCATTAACAGCCAAAACTGGTAAGTGTCGCTCCAGTTTCAAAGAAAAATACAAAAAATAATAATAATAATTGACCAATCTCTGGAACTCCTTGTGCCATTCTCCACTCTGTCTCCAATGACGTCGCCTTCTCGTTGCCGGTAAATCTCGCTTGACCCTTTCCTTTGAATCTCTGAGTGGCTGGAGCTGGGCCATTGTGTTGTCAGAAGAATTTCCTGTTGATTGTATTCTGCTGCTCGTGTTTATTCTTTGGAAAGATTCCTTGAAGTTCTGCAGATCTGAATTCTGCTTTTCTTTTTTTCTTTTTTTTGGGGGTCTGGGAGAGAGACTCTAAACATTGGGTGGGAACAACAAGGCATCCTAAGGCCCGTTGTTACGCCGTGCGGGTTGAACTTGCAACAGAGAATTCAAAGTCTTGTAGAAACAATAATTTTGTTTAAAAAAAAAACCCTGTCTGCTGGAGTCTTCCTTTTCCTTTTTCTCCCCAACCAATAGGAAGGTGATGTTTCTTTTCTATTTATTTATTTATTGCTTGTGTGGAGTGACCATTCAAAGTTACAATGGCACTGAAAAAAGTGACTTATGACCCTTTTTCACACTTATGACTGTTGCAGCATCCCCACAGTCACGAGAGGCCAGGCGAGGAGAAGCGCGCCTCAATGTGAGTGATATTGAGTTGGCCACGCCCAGCCAATAACATAACCCCAAGCCACGCCCACCCAGTCACATGACCACCAAGCCACACCCACCAACTAAGCCACGCCCACAGAACCGGTTGTTAAAAAAATTTGAATCCCACCCCTGCTTGTAAGCGATTGACAAATCAAATAAATAATGAATAAAATAAATAAATAAATAAAAGTGGTTTTTTTTCCTTGCAGCATTGAGGATGGTGCAGGAACCAATCTGGGTCGGTCACCAGCATCAAAAGTTTTGTCTTCCCAGGTTTCGAACTCGTGCTGGAGCCTCATCCTTAAGGAACTTCTCTCCCACCGGGATGTGTTGTGAGGATGAGCTCCAGCATGAATCCCAAAGTTTGGAAAAATGAAGCCTCTGCTCCTGGCGATCGACCCAGATTGGATCCTGTGACATTATCCTGGGATACGTATATAGGTAGTCCTCGACTTACTACTGCAATTGAGCCCCAGATCTATGTTGTTAAGTGAGACAATGGTTAGGTTAATTTTGCTCCATTTTACAACCTCCCTTGCTATAGTCGTTAAGTGAATCACTGCAGTTGTTAGAAATACGGTTGTTTGGTGAATCTAGCTTCCCCATTGATTTTGGTTATCAGAAGGTCCCAAAAGGACAGGGCAACCATCATAAATATGAGTCAGTTGCCAAGCATCTGAAGATTAATCCCATGACCATGGGGACGCTACAACGGTTGAAAGTGTGAAAAAAATGGTCACTTTTTTCAGTGCCATTTGAACCGTCATTAAACGAACTGTTGTAACTCAAGGCAGTGTCAACCCTGAAGTGAGCCTGGCTGAGGTCACCTTGGAGGTTTCAGGGTTGCCACACAGGAGTGGGAGGAGGGGCGGTAAAATAGCTAGATGGGGCTCTGTAGCCAAAACAATAAAGTTTTCCTGTGGGAACCAAGAACATTCTCACAAGTGGCTGGCCAGAGGAGGAGCCAGTAACCCAGCAACCAGCCAGCACCTGGATTGGACAGCGTGACCAATGACTTGTCGAGGGAAAGGGAAAACTTTTACTTATTTAGGCAAAAGCCACGGGAAACCTCAGAGTTGGCTTTCACCGGTGTGTGCCCATATGATGTATCCAATAAGCTTTTTCTTTGAGGAACTAGAGTTTTGTCTTCTATGGGCGCATAGCTTGGAACGCTAGCGGACAGGCTGTATTGGCCATCATTTGTTCAGGATGAATTGCCCATTCATAAAAACCTCTCTTGCGAAGCGGCTTTGAGCATGAATGATGTGTCCAAACTTCCTCTGGCTACGAAGACTTGATCTATCTCCCTGATGTTAGATGCGTGCCGTTTTGTTTTTTCCCCCAACTAAAAAAAGAAAGTCAGCTCCCTTTTGCTGTTGTAACGCGGACAACAGGATATAATGACCTCCTCTCATGAAGGCTGGTGTCTCACTTAAAGGCAGGTGCTTCCCCAGTCACAGAGCCAGGTACCCTTAAGAGGAACAATGGAAGATTCCTTGAAAATTACCTTCCCCCGAAATTCCAGAGCACAAGAGAAGCTTATGGAAAAAAAATGGGTCATTTGTGTGTCAGTTTCTTTTGTATCTCTATTTTATTTTATTCAAAACATTAAAATAAAAAACTCCAAAAAAGGGGGGAAAGAAGAGAAAGCAACACAAAAGCAAAAAAGCTAGGTATGGCTACACAAAAAAATGTGCATTTTAAAAATACCCAAAACAATATATACATAAATGATCCCCCCTTGAATACTGATAAATATATTTTGAAGATAATAGCTCCTCTTCCCCTTGTAAAGGAGGCACCCATTTCTACAATACTGTTTACCCAACCTGCTTAGCCTGGCCTCTATCTCCTTCTCTTCCTCCTCCTTCTCCTCTTCCTTATTCTTCCTCCTCCTCCTCCTCCTCTATATACAGTATATTGTATATATTAAAAAATGAAATATCACTCAGGCATCACCACAAAATCTCCAGAACCGTAAAGCCTACAAACTTGACATTTGGCATGTATGTTCCTCTTGGCTTCTAGGTGCTCACTAAGAAAGGATTTTTCAAAATGACCATCAGAGCATTAGTATTGGTATATTATTATTATTAACATGCTCTGATGCTAAGGAGTTCTACTCCCCCTCCCCACCTGAAAAGAAATCTCTTCCAAATGCAAAATACAAGCAGAGGAGTTTCACTTTTAGTTTCACAGCACCAAGCAGCTTTAGTACAGAACAGTTGAGCTAAGCCACACCCAGGCTCCTTGCTGTCTCCTTGCTCACACCGCAAATACTGTTTCAGTGTCCATGTTTCAGTTTCCAAACAGCCCTCAACTCTTTCACACACTGACAGGATGCTGGTAGGCAGAGGCACAATTTCCCCCCCTTATTTCCCTCCCCAAAAACTAAGCCCGATCATATAGCTTCGTAACGAAGCACGGGCATAGAGCTAGTCTACTATACGGAAACATAAGTTAACTGGTAAAACCAGCAGCCAAATTAAACTTCAAAGCTCATTGTTAACAGTCTGTGGTTGTATTTCACTCACAGAAAGTCCACAATGGCTTGTGGTTACCCTAAGTCACCACAATCACCTTCTGGGTCAGCTTTGAGAGGTAGTTCAGACTAGAAGCACACCCAAAGTACTGGCATTGTAAAAATTCTGTCTTCCCTCTCTCTCTCTCTCTTCTTGACCCAGTTTCAAAACCATCATCCATTATATCGACAATCAGTTTGAAAGATACCTTCACGATGAGAGTGGTTTGAATAGACGCCATATTGTAGACAACCGAGTCCATTGCTGCTTTTATTTCATTTCCCCTTTTGGACATGGGTAAGTATTAAGGTTTTTGTTTTTTTGTTTTAATATCCCAGGATAAAAGTCTCATTCCTAAGCCTCACTGAATAAACTTTCTGCAAGGGCCTTTAATTGAATAGCCAATTTAATTAAAATCATCTTCGGAAATATTTCTCACCTTGGTTTCGCCTCCGTTTCAGAAGGGTACCTCTTAAAATTGTCGCCAAGCAGGAAAACCCATTCCTTAATACAAGAAATTAAACCACTTTATATAGCCCAGGCTTAAAGCATGCAAAGTCTTGTACAAAACGGAACTTTTCTGAGTTCTTCAAGAAATGGTGTTTGTGAAAGAGTTTTAAACTTCGCAGGATCCTTTTCCGTTGAAGTACTGGTTGAGATGTAGTTTCCTCAATGTTAAAATAAGCTTTGAATCTGAGGGGAGATTTTCATGGCTGTTGGGTAGAGTAACCAGAAGAATTAGAACTATTTTTTTTTCTGAACTTGGCGCAAAGTGTTGGCTTTTCGATTTCTTTTAAACAAGATGAAACTTGTTTTGAGACCCTGTGTAGTTTTAATCGGTTTTCCAGTTCAAGGTGATAAGAAACTTTGCTACCAATGAGCCGCAAAGGCAAAGCAAGGGCATCACCAAAAAAAAAGGGATGGATGTTAGGTGAAAGCAGCCAGTGCATTGTTTGTTGTCGTTGTATAACTTTTTAATTCATTATTTTCCAGACTGAAACCTTTGGATGTGGAATTCATGAAGGCAATTCATGGAAAAGTGAATATTGTTCCTGTCATAGCGAAGGCAGATACTTTAACTTTGAAGGAAAGGGAACGACTGAAGAGAAGGGTAATGCATCAATTTTTCTGGGGAATTCTGGGAGGTGAAGCCCACCCATCTTAAAACAGGCTGGTTGGGGAATTCTGGGAGTTAAAGTCTGCACAATGTTGCTAAGGTTGATGAAAAACATTGAATTAAGTCTCCTTTTTTTACATTTAAAGAAATGGAGAGCTTTAAAACTCTTTCTTTGAGCATCTTGCCCTCCAGAAAACCACAGTTGCTTAATTGGTTTCCCCTCCTTTTGCCTCGGCGTTACCAGCTTGTAAATCTTCTGTGCTTATTTTTGCATTAAATGTTCACAGATAGTTTAACAAAAGCCCTGGCTCTATATAGAGCAATAAAAGGGCAAATAAACATCTAGCCCATTGTTTGAATTTTGGTCCATTTGAATCAGCCTTTAAAAATAATATTCCCCTACAATAGTGGCTTTATAAGGCAGAATGTTTCATGTTGATCCAAAACTTTGAAATTTCAGCTACTGTATATTTTTCTTCCTGCAAACATCTCTTAAGTGCAAATTCTCTAATCAAAGCAGGGGATCAAAATTTGCCTTTCTTGGCACAACTTCGAAGGTTTTTGGGTTGTGGATGTTTCTGCCATTTGGCAATCCATCTAAAGTAAGGATTAAGGTGTTTTTTTTTTCCCCTTCTATTTTTTTAAAAAAAATATTGAATAAGCAGAAACGTGAATGGTGGGTCTTTCTGTTAAGGAAGCCCATCCTGAAGGAATTCCTGTTTTGACTTAGTGGAATTGAATCTTCTTTTTCTTCCCTTTTCTTAAAAAATAAAATAAAATCTGAGCCTCTCAAGCGGGAACCAATGCGTGCCCGATTCACAAAGCCACACAGCGGCGATTTCTCGAGGAAGTTCACAAAAAGAATGCGTGAAGGGAAAGTTTGCATTTTGACTTCTTTTTCTTCTTTTTCCCTGGGAAGCTAATCTTTAAGAGGCACGGAGCCTCTAGGGACTCATTAACTGATGTCTGAAGAAACAAAATGCAGTTTTATTGTTGGGGAGTATGAAATGCAGTTTGTTTTCCTTGCAATTCTTCCTTTCTTTCTTTCTTTTTTCCTTTCAGGAAAGCGCTTGGCTGAACAGCTGTGATCTATTATTCAGGCACCCTTGCTGGTTTTCCCGCCATTGTTTTGGTTTTACAGTTTATCACCAAGTTTATCGCCCAGAGAAATTGGGCTTTCTTAATTCCCCATCATTGACAAACAGCAAACTAGCCAATGTTGGCCAGTCCACTCCTGTTAGGCTGTTCCTGGGAGGGTCTTTTTCTCTTGCAACCTATTATTAAAACTACTGTGTGCCGTTGCTAATTCTTGGAATCCTAGCCTGCCAGATTTGCAAAATTCGTGTCCGTTTGTGTTTGGATGGATTAGGCCTGGACATTCTGTTCTTTATTATTATTATTATTATTTTGCCAAGAATCAGCAGAGCTTGAGTGGAGAGACAGTGATCCTATTTGGAGTGGGGATATATGTCTCGTTACGAAACCTGGCAAATGAATCTGGACACCCTACGGTGATGGGAAATTAAGAAGGACTTGTGGTTTGGCTTTAACTAAAAATTGGGTTTTAAATAAATTGTTCTGGGAACCATGGTTCAAGTAAACCAGGAAAGGTGCACAGGGGTCTATCCAACTAGAGAAATGCACTCAAATACTGGAGGCTTTCAAGAAGAGACTGCACTGCCAAATGTCAGAAATGGTGTAGAGTCTCTTGCTTGGGCACGGGGTTGGACTAGATGACCCACAAGGTCCCTTCCAACTCTGTTAATCTAAAGTTCCTTGCTTAATGAGATAATAAGCTTAGATAGCATTGATTAACCAAAACTGTATACCATTTTTTTAAATAGCTCGGATGTTGTTTGTAACGGTGCTAATTGTGTATTTTGATCTTGCTTCTGAAACTGAACTGCTAAAGAGACTTAAAAGTTCTTGAAGTTGAGGGGGTTAAAAAGCCAGTTTTAAGCTGCCAGCAAAGCCCATTTTAACAGGTAAACCCTTTTTGTTTTAGAAAAATATGAACAAAATGGTGATTAGGAAAAGGGGACAAATAGGCCCTGAACAAGGCATCTCTAAACGAACCCGGACTTCGTTTCTTTTTATTTTCTAATAACAATATTAAACATGCCAGTTAAAGAGATCAAAACCTATACCAGCTGGGGGAAAAAAATAAAAGAATACCCAGGAGAGAGAGCACAGAAAAGAAAACACAGAAAAGAAAAATAGGAAACAAAATATATATTAAAGAAGAAAAAGAAACCCACCATAGAGAAATGATTTTCGCTTTCCATCACAACTAAACCATTTAAAGTTTAGCCATTGTGCAAATACAATTAGAGGCTGCGGACACTTTGTCTAGAATGGAAAATATTGGCTCTCATTTCTTTCTTTCTTATTTTCTTTCTTTCTTTCTTTTTCCTTCCTTCCTTCCTTCCTTCCTTCTTTCCTTTTCTTTCCTTTTCTATCTCTTTTTCTTTTTTTCCTTTCCCTTCCTTTCTTCCTTTCTTTCCTTCCTTTCCTTTCTTTCCTTCCTTCCTTCTTTCTTTCTTTCCTTCCATCCTTCCTTCCTTTCCTTCTTTTTCCTTCCTTCCTTCCTTCCCTTTCTTTTCTTCCTTCCTTCCTTCTTTCTTTCCTTCCTTCCTTTCCTTCTTTTTCTTTCTTTCCTTCCTTCCTTCCTTTCCTTCTTTTTCCTTCCTTCCTTCCTTCCTTCCTTCCTTCCTTC